CAACAGGACTCAGGTCCAGCAGGACTCATGTCCAGCAGGACTCAGGTCCAACAGGACTCAGGTCCAACAGGACTCATGTCCAGCAGGACTCAGGTCCAACAGGACTCAGGTCCAACAGGACTCATGTCCAGCAGGACTCAGGTCCAGCAGGACTCATGTCCAGCAGGACTCAGGTCCAACAGGACTCATGTCCAGCAGGACTCTGGTCCAGGTCACATCATTTACATCATGTATTTAATCTTCTCTGTGTCCACCTGTTGTCATGTTTTAGTATAAATTTATTTGTCTGCATGTTTTATTACTTTAATGTCAAATAATTTGTTTCGTTTTCATTCAGTCAAACTTTTAATGATCAGGTTTAACTGCAGAGGAAAACAGCTGAAGCTGACAGCAGAGTTCTGTCTGCAGCTTGTTGTGTTGTTCTGTCTGCAGCTCGTTGTGTTGTTCTGTCTGCAGCTCGTTGTGTTGTTCTGACTGCAGCTTGTTGTGTTGTTCTGACTGCAGCTTGTTGTGTTGTTCTGACTGCAGCTCGTTGTGTTGTTCTGTCTGCAGCTTGTTGTGTTGTTCTGACTGCAGCTCGTTGTGTTGTTCTGTGTGCAGCTTGTTGTGTTGTTCTGTGTGCAGCTTGTTGTGTTGTTCTGTGTGCAGCTTGTTGTGTTGTTCTGTGTGCAGCTCGTTGTGTTGTTCTGTCTGAAGATTGTTGTGTTGTTCTGACCTGCAGCTTGTTGTGTTGTTCTGACTGCAGCTTGTTGTGTTGTTCTGTGTGCAGATTGTTGTGTTGTTCTGACCTGCAGCTTGTTGTGTTGTTCTGACTGCAGCTTGTTGTGTTGTTCTGTCTGCAGCTTGTTGTGTTGTTCTGACCTGCAGCTTGTTGTGTTGTTCTGACTGCAGCTCGTTGTGTTGTTCTGTGTGCAGACCTGGAAGAACACTCTGGACCGGTACCCCGACACGCTGCTGGGCTCCTCTGAGAAGGAGTTCTTCTACAACGAGGACCTGCAGGAGTACTTCTTCGACAGAGACCCTGAGATGTTCCGACACATCCTCAACTTCTACCGCACCGGGAAGCTGCACTACCCCCGCCTGGAGTGTGTGCAGGCCTTCGATGAGGAGCTGGCCTTCTACGGCATCGTACCTGAGATCATCGGAGACTGCTGCATGGAGGTACACCTCACCTGTCCTCACCTCACCTGTCCACACCTGTCCTCACCTGTCCTCACCTGTCCACACCTGTCCACACCTCACCTGTCCTCACCTCACCTGTCCACACCTGTCCTCACCTGTCCTCACCTGTCCACACCTG